TTTTTGAAAAGTTGTCTCAAGGATTGTAATTATAACATCTGGAAGTCTTGGACGAACTAGGATTAAATTGGGTCAAGAAAGAGTCCAAAAATATTAAAACACTTTTCCCGCTAGCAAAAACATTAAAAACACTTTTCCCGCAAGGCAATGCCTCGGCGCCACTATACAGCGCCGCAAATTCTATTATCTTCTACAATGTGGGTGTGCGGCACCTACTTCAGGTGGAAAAACAGCACTGCTCACCTTTCAGTATTTTTAACACAATTTCTCTCAATATCCGATAGAAGTAATTCAAGAGGCATTAGAAAGCTAACTCAAAGATTGCTCAGATATCATTTTCCAATTTGAATGTTTACTATGTTGAAAATGGATCTCAATATGAAACTAAAAAGTCGGAGATAACTTTTTCAATTGGAGATTGATGTGTGATAATATTTTGAATATATTTGATCTCTTTGACGTATTCCTTCATCCAATTGACCCACAACATTCTCAAATCTTCATCATGAGGTTTGACACAACCTTCAAGTATTTGCACTTGAGTCCCCAAACTTTGGATTCCTTACAATTTAGCCCTTTTTTCCAAATTTGCAAAATTTTACTTAGTTTTTTCAATTTCATCAACATATATCATAACTTCAAAATATATATTAAAATACTCTAAAACTTGTAGGAATTAGCTAAATATCAAGTTTAAATGGTATCTAAAGTATTAGTGAAATGTCCAATCTGTACTAGTCAAAGAACTTTCATCTAGCGACATTCTGATGCCGTGGACAAGGGAGAAATCTTCTTCTTAGGTTCAAGTTTGTCCACGAGGTCTTCATCTGCACAGTGTCACCTCATCTATAGACATTGATCTCCATATTCATGCTAAAAGTAATCTAAGATAAATGGAAGAGAGAGAAAAATATATAAGACCTAAAAGAGGAGGCAAATGAATCGTAAATAAGGGATAAATAGAATTGGACAAAAATGCCCTGGTTTAAATTGATCAAAATTTGCCCTTTTTTTCATTTTTTAGGTCAACTGAAGGTAGAACTAAAAGTGTGTTTGATTGACATGGAAAATATAAACTAGAAAAGAAAATGTTTTCCTTGTTTTTGAGGAAAATAAAAATCACCTCCACCCAAGGAAAATATTTTCCTTAAAACCAAGGAAAATTAGGCATATTTTTAAAAGTTGGAAAATGTATTTCATGAAAAAAAAAATAGCAATTAAACACTCCAAATAGAAATTTGGGTGGAAAATTGATATTTTCCATGGAAAATAAATGTAATCAAACACACCCTAACATTTCATGTAATTTTGGACTGCATCTGCAAATTTCTCAAAGGCTTAGGACCTCTGGTGGAACAAATTGAAGGTTGAAGTAAAGTCTACAAAAAAAGCAAAGATTTGGGACCGCTGCTACAATTTTCCTTTAAATTTATTTTACTTCATTTCTGGCTAGCATGTTCAGAAAACAAAGTTACTCGGAAACTTTTAAGCTTAGGAATATATCTGTTTTTAAGTTACTTTTAAGTAATTTCATTTCTTTTAATCTAGCATGCTTTCGAAACCTAAAAACCAAGTAAAAGTATAATCTTATACTCAACTAACGAGCGCTCTTAACTTCCAATGTCAATTTTCAAAGATTTAGAATTGACAGAAATTACATTGCTTTCATTTCTCTTTTACAAGTCGCTGTCAAAGTGAACAGATTTCGTGATTGTTGAAGCATTATGCAGATGCTTCTTGCTTCACTCGTAACCATTGAGTTTGAATTTTTCACTTTCACGTTAATAGAAACTGCTGAGTTAGCTTCCCTCACTTTGACATTAGTTAAAAGATAATAATCATGGATACATCTCGATTCTTGAGAAATCTTTTAAGAATTAGTCCATGTTTATCTACTTTTAAAAATAACTCTTTGATTCTCACACTCATTTTCAGAGTAGAATTTAGGGGGGGTTGGATTGGGTTGGGCTGTAGCCCCCCGCCCCCCTTCCAGGCCCAATAGCTTTTTTTAAGGTAATTTTTATTTTTTTTTGGTAAAAAATCAGTTTTTTATGTGTAAAAAAATTTTTCGGCATAGTAGCTCAATTTGAAATTTTGTAGCTCGATCTTGAGTCCAATCTTGGATCTGCCTATGCTCATTTTGAATTATATTCGAATAATAAAATATTTTGTGCATAAAACACAAAATTTTTCCTTACATTTTTTTAAAAAATTATTATTCAAATCTTCATTTAAAAAAAATATATAAAAAAGGGTTTTTAGATTTTCTCACATTTTTTTCAAAAATTATTATTCAAATCTTCATTTAAAAAAATATATAAAAAAGGGTTTTTAGATTTTCTCACTGTCACATTTATGGATGGTTAATTCACTTAATTGAAAGGATTGAGTCATTTGTACGTTAAAAATGTACATCTTCCTTGACATTCTATGAGGTGTCAAAATCGAGACTACTGATTTTTTTAAGTGCTATTAAAACCAATGACAAAAATGTGTACCATATCACACAATGCCAAAAAAGCAATAAACAAAACTGTAACCGTAACAAAACTGTAATGATAAATACAAAGGGAACTTCCATCACTTTGACATTAAGATTAATGTTCACTGATTAAAAAAAAAAAAGAGAACTCTCTCTAAACAATGAGACTACATATTGATTCAAGGTAGAAATGAAGGGATGGGTTCATGTCCACAAAGCCACTCCCCACATCCACAGTTTCACTTCATAGGCTAAGTTGTACACAAAAATTGCTGGGTAAAAACATGGCATAATGACAATTTCAGTGGATGAGTACAGCTTCGACCAAACGCACGATGATAAAAAGAACTTGCATTCTCCAAAAATATAACTTTCTTAATGTGAACAATTCATGAGAAAAACAATAATGCAGCTCACCGAGGTTCTGCCAGTTCCACTTCTTTTTTGATTTTCTATACTATGGAATATGGAAAAACAATACTGAAATAATAAACGTCTTGATTCTGTCTCATTTATTTACAAAATACATAAGCAATGATTGCTTTTTTAATTAAGAGACCACTCAAAACACTAATTCTTAGAGAAAGTAAAGCCGAAAGAACTGGAATTCTCTTCAACTTTAATCCACAAAGCCCATCTCCCAACATGGCTAATGTCTCTGATCAACCAAAATAACCCAGTCTGTCCTGATAAAGTTGATCATTAGACTTGAACCCTCCAATTCAAAATTTCCCTCATTGCTGGGCCAAAATATTATTTGCCAAACTAAGCAACGCTAGAACCTCCATTTGTTTTAGGTTCAGTTCGAACATACGTTAGACTTCGAGTAGTGGGTGATGGAACAACACTATTTCCATTTTGACCCAACATCTCAGTTGCAGTGGACTGAGCATCTCGCTTCCACTGAAAACTCCTTGCACCTGGCTTGATTGGTACACGAGCCCTGTATACATTGGGAATGCCTCTTGCAAAAGGAACTCTGCTAAATCTAGGAATTGGAAACAGGGATGCTCTACTAATACGAGGCCAAGTCGAGACGGATGCATTTTCAGGTTGCGCAGAGCTTTTCCTTGCTATCTGCAATGATACCAGACGATGGTCAAGTTCACATAAAACTACATGCAGCTAATATAGAAAAGCTATGCATTAAGACTGATAGATTGCCAAAATCACTTCAAGCCCCTGTTTGGGTTCTATTAAAATTTTAACGAATTTTTCTCTTTGTTCTTTTCAACCACATTCTTTAATAAAATAATATTACACGTAAACCTAAAACTGTTCTTTCTTTTTTAACCACTTAATTCTCGAAACTCAAATGTTTCTATTGTTGTTTTGGATCCACAATTAATCCTATGGATCTTTAGGATTGGTATATTTTTTCTAAACTCACTATTCCAAAATACATTTTTCCCTAAAACCTCATTAAAATGGAACTAAGGCTAAAAGGCAGTGGCGGATCTGGCACCCGACGAGCACCGACGGCCACGTGTGCTGAATTTTCCGGGAATAACTTTTTTTTTTTTTTTTTTTTTTTTTTTTTTTTTTGTTGACAGTAGATAATAGGTTTAGGTTATATATCTGATAATTCGTTTCATTTTCAAACATATCTTGCAGCTCATTTGGTTAGAGCTTTCACATACAAACCGGAGGTTCAGAGTTCAAATATCTTCCAACCCAATTTATTCTGCAATTTCTCTAGTTTTGCAATTTTTACCAAAACCTAATGCAATAGCGAGGGGATTCGAAACTGTGACCCTCTTTAAGATAATTGAAAGATTGACCATAATGGCACTTAATGAATTTTGATACTAAACGTATCAGAAAATATATATTCTATTTTAGTGGTTTTAATGCAATTTGCAAGGATTTGAACCTGTACTTCTCAATTAGACAAAACTTGGCCACTATGTCACATGGTGAATACCGTTAATGCTTCTAACAAAATTATATATGTTTAGTTTTAGCAAAATAATGATAATATTTAATTTTTATTTTTATATTTTTTTACGGCCGTCCATACTCACTCAAAATTTTGGATCCGCCACTGCTAAAAGGTATGTAAATCTTTCACAGAAAAATCCAACCACCAATTGACCAAATTAAGCCAAACAAGTATGAACTTAGTTGTTGCCTAGTCTAGTTCCACTTTCATGCAACGTTTCATCACAGGGAATGATTGTTTAATTGATAGGTAACACGTATAACTGCTCAAAGTCACACCTAAGATGGTAATTGATGAAAACCATCCAGAAATAACAAAATCGCAGCAGATGAAGAGCAACAATAAAAACTGTAAGCAGAAAGAATTCGACTATCAATTAAGTCTCCGGAAAAAGAAAGTTTTTCCACATTGAAAGAAGAAAAGAAAAAATAGTGAAACAAATCCTCCAAAAGGAATAATGGAGATCTGGCTGCAAAACGAGAATATTCCAGGTAAAGAAAACGGGCATATTAGGAAAATCAAAAATATAAACTGCATCCCTATTTCACATGCAGTTGACTAGGTAAATATCAGATAAGCAAACACATAAACTGCATCTCTACTGCATGTACAGTCTACATAAAGTAGCCCTACTACAGTGACCATAATATTCTTCAACAACTTACCTTGAGAATGCGTGACATAAATGAGGTGCCATCCAAAGAAAGAGCAAGTTCAGCTGATTCTTTCTTCATGAACTCTATATAAGCTGACCTGCATAAAAAAAAAAAAATAAATAAATAAATAAATATATTGCAGGATGTGCTTTCAAGAAGAGACAGTAGATTGGGAAAATGACTATTTCAAAAAATCTCACCCTTTTGGCTGCCCTGAAGCTGGATCGGTCAAAATGATCACTTTTAGGACTTCTCCAAACTTATTAAAGTGCCGTGAAAGGCTGTCCTTAGTGGCAGCAAAATGAACCTAATACAGGAAGCCGTGTCAGTACTTAAAAAAGACAGAATTTCTAGTCCATCAGGTTGAAGATTTAGAATTGGGATATGAGAAAGTACATTGCTGACAAAGATAGTTCGAGAATCAGCATCTTCCCAGGGTGCAACAATAGAATTTAAACCTGCGCAAAAGAAAGTGTCATAGAGAAGAATATTTCCAAGGAAAGTATGCATGACATGAAAACTACTAAACACATTGGTAAACCAACTTCATGGGAATATGTGAAAAAAAATAAAAAAAAAATTAGAAGGCAATAACAAAGACAAAAGCCAGCCATCAACCTCGAGATAGAATATTAGCAAAAGATAGATACATTCCCCATTACTCTTATTATATGTGTAAAAATAAAAAAATAAAAAAAAGCAAAGAGAAGAAGAGAAGGCAGAGGAAAGAATGTGAAGCTTACCAGGGGTCAATTTCTGACTCTTTAGTGACTCTTTTTGCAGATCTGTATGCACTTTCACCTATACAAAAGAAACATGTGAATAAATTACTAACCTTTGTATGAACTGCAAAATATTCTGACAAACTGACAAAGAAGAAATGCAGGAACATAAGAATGCATGACTCGCGCAGTTATCTTACATTTCTTCCATTAACCGATACTGTCAGATTGTTGTTCTCCTTCATCAACTGCATTTGCACTCCAGAATTAGCAGCCACTGTATTACTCTCTTCTATTAATTTCTGACTATCAACCTCTGAAACCTTCCTTACCTCCTGATAATTAGGAGGTTTCCTGAGATTCGTTGTTACAGATGAACTAACAATTTTATGAGCTATATTGGGCATGGTTTCTGGCTGATCCTGATTTCCATGTGGTCTACCCACTATTTCATCTGCATCATCAGAACCACCGTAGTGAACAACTAAAGAGTGATCACCCCTATTTCCATGAGATGTGCCTGGCTGAGTTATATCCATTGTTTTATCATTATCATAAGCTTCATCACTATATGCTGAATCCGAAGTGATAACTCTCTCACTTCGGAATGATGACACAATTCCCTCATACTGTCTAGAAAAGTCATTTCTCTGGAGATAAGCAGAATGAATGTCCTCCATTACATCATTAAAAGCTCCACCTTCTCTATTTTCAGTAGTGCCTTCTCTATACCCTTTTACATGGTCATAGGTATTCAAATCATCAGTAGCACGACCAAGCCTATCAAACACATTGCCCGAGGATCTAACTCTGCTTACATCTTTTGCAGCTTCTGTGACGGCTTTAATAGCAGCAGACATGGCAGTACGCACGCCTGCTACAGATCGAATTCTCTGAGGGCCTGCTTCAAGGGATGAGTCCCCTTTCGAAGTAGAAACTACTGATCGGAGGCGTTTAAGAGAAGGCTCAGCGGTTAAATTGGATGGCCTAGAAGTAGCAACAGCATCTCTTACTGCAAATTGCAGTAGCCTCCGTGGTGCATCACTGGAAGCCTGAGAAACTTCTTCCTATCAAATTAAATTGAACAGTACAGTATAAACAATCAATGGACTAACAATTCTTGAAAAGAAATCAAGAACAGGAAAATTAAAGATACCACTAAAAGTACTCTTTAACAATTGAAGATAGATTAGTTTCGAACTGATATTGACATTATCAGTTTGATATCAGCAGACAATATTTGAGCAAGGATTTCTGTGGAATATTCGAGAAGTTATGATATGATCAAGCAGAAGCTGAGATACTAGTGCATTTGGCCACATAAAATTACCACCAAAAACTCCACAGAAAATCATCCAGTTCAAAACTATACATAGAGGTGGGAATACCAAGTGCATTGTTAGAGCACATGCAAGCCCAGAAAAAGACATACATGCACTAAGGTTTGCCACAAAGAAGCTGGGGTTTACAAATAGGTAAAAATCATCTGCGTCATCATAAATTCATAACAGTTTATGAGGGAGTCATCTTAAGATACAATAACTGGTGTTAGGATATGCTATATCCAACTCATGCGCCATGACCTTGCTTCCAAAATATCCACTTCCAAGAATCTGAAGTAGTTAATTCAAACCTTAGTAGTTAATTCAAAATGCTGCAAGTCCATATGGTTTCTTCTTAGAATAGTAGTGAAAAAGAGAATTTGGCCATATCTTTTCCAGGATAAGTTTGGACTAAATACATCCCAGAATAGAAATTGCTAACCCAGAGAAACAGTTAGCAGAATAAGCTTCGGAGACTCGGGGTCTTTGTCATTATAAACTGAGGGCTAGCTTATCCCAAAGAAAGCCTCTTTTCTCGTCAGTAGTTCCAGGTTCTCTTTCGATTTCTGCATGCATTACATGGTTCTCGAATTTCTGTGCACCCTTAATGCTTATTCACAAAATTTTAGCCATATATGCTTGTTTGGTAAAAATTATAGTTAGATTATAGTAAAAAGGAGTAGTGAGTCCCACGAAATATGTAGATAATAAGTAATTTGTAGTTATCATCGTGTGGTTGTTATTTTTGACTTTGACAGCAAGACATAATGAGATAATGAGTTGTTACAAAGAAGCACTATATCTTGTTGATATTGTTAATGAAGTGTTAATGGGATACTATGGTTAGTTTTACAAAAATAAGAAATGAAGATCTAAATCTTTCCAAGTCATTTACTTATTATATCTATCAGATTTATCTGAGAAATTTAAATTAGGAAATAGAAGTTTTCTTCAAGAAGATCGATATAATTTTCATTTTTCCACAGGATAAAAAACTCAATAAAAGGAAAAATATGAACATTTTAATAGTTTGGTAAAATTTCTTCCCCGTGGTCAACTGCACAAGTCCTGTCAAATCTAATAGGCTTCATTAGATAGGGTTGTTCCTTCAACACCAACAAAAGATTCAACTTCTCTACCCATTGCTTAATATGTTCTTTAGTAAATTTACTTCCAAATATTGCATTTAGATCATAATCTGATTTGATGACACAATTTTATCCAGTCAAATCTACTTTCCTCATTGGTTAGTTCAAAGAAACAATACAGAATGTAAATATTCAACAAGGATTACAGCTTATGGTGCTATGCCTTTTTACCTTACTTTTTCTTGTTGGATGAAGAGGGGGAATGTAAGATTTTATTAAGAATGGGCACAATGATATGGAAAATATGCACTGTCATGTCCATAAAAGATGTAATATATATCCTTAAAAAAAATCTCAAAGGATGCAGAACAATGTGGTGCCAGCTCGTGGATAAAAATGATTTCCTTTTGATATATCAATGCTCAATTCTCCAGAGAAAAAATAAAGAAATAAATACATGGAAACTAAGCTGACTAGTCATATTGACGCTGATCTAAAAAGTCAGAACTTCTGGCCCAACTTAAAAGAAGGTTTCAAGGCATGAATAGTAGGAAGGAGATTGAATGTGTAACATGACGCCGAAAGATAGTCTAAGAGACCCATATCTAAATTATGAATGCTGCCTGTGAACTGGCAGAAAAGATCACCTTTTTCAGTTCTCTCTCCTCAGGACGTCTTCGTTTTTTCTGAATTTTCAGCTGTGGAGAAAGAGATTGTTTTGTCGGACGAAGTTCTCGTTGAGGTTCTTCATCAGCGTTGACACTGGATATCACAGAGCTTCTAAGAGGGGGGACTTGATCTTCATCCCTCGAAGTTTTCCACTCCCGTTTGTGACGGGTTCTAGGGGTTTTAATAATATTTTCATTCTTTCCTGTAGACTTGATCTGATGCAAATCATTTCTTACAACCTGCTCCCCAATTGTGGATTTTATTTTGGGGGCTATATTTGGATGAGGTTCCCGTGGTTGCACATATAAATCAAGATTTGATACCAAATGATCCCACAGCCTACATAATACAATATTGGTATAAGAATTATGGTTCACTAGCTATTCACAATGTCTAAGCAATGGAAGTAACCTTACCAAGATACAAAAGAGTCACTGTCATCTCCCAAAAATACATTCAACTCATTCTTTGCTTCATCCTTATGCCTTCCATTTTTTAGCAAGACTATAACATACTCCTACAAGCACATCAAACAAAATTAATGAATATGTGTGGACAAAGATGACAAAATTATCTAACATCACGTGAATACTCTGAAATTCAATATTGATACAAGCGTTGTATCATAATGTTCTATGATATGCAAGGTTATGAACTCCAAGATTCAAAATTAAAAATCATGGATCAAGCAACACGAAAGAACTTGTCAATATGTGTCAAGTACAAATAGAAATTGAATTGAAAACAGCAGACTAAAATTAGATGGTAGGAAAACGATTAAAGATAAAGACAAAGAAGAAAACAACTTCCAAACAGTCCACATGACCTCAAGACATATTGACTTAATTCTAATCCGGAAGATATAAACTAAACTGCACTCAAACCCAACAGCCAAAGAGGAGAGGGAGGAAGGCGAAAAAAGAATAAGGAAAAATCACAGCAACCTTGTAGGCATAACTATAGGAAGGAAAAGTGCAAGATAAGCACAAAGAAATGTCCCGTCCAAATCATTAAGAGTTCAAAAAACTAACTCTTTTGTTCCAGAAGCAACAAAAAAACATGGATTAAATCCTACTACAGAAAAAACTGGTTGTGACTTGCGACTCATAGGCATTGTTGCATAGCCATCCAAAATGTCATTGGAAAATCAGCTATATATCAAAAGGTGCGTTATAAACTGTCATAAAAATGATTAGAAACTGCTCTGTTTTTACATTATCGATTTTCAGTTTTGCTCAAAATAAAAACCCAGTCCATTTTCATATTATCGTATTTCAACTTTCTCCCCTCAAAAAGTATTTTCTGTCTCCAATTAGTATATTTTCGTTAAAATAAGTCATCATTTTACATTACAATGAATTATACCCAAGCAAATTTACATATGAACAGGTTTAGCTACAAATACAGCATGACTTGCATGCCAATAGACATATAGAGTACGATAAATGGCATTAAACTGCATTTTTATTGGAGTAAATCATAAAACCTCGCGACAAAAATAACCAAATTATCCCGAATAAAATTTCATTCCATACCACAAGAGTGTCATCAGTGTAGTCGCCCATGAACTCCTTGAGTTTCTCGGTGACTTGGTCACGAAGCTTCACCACTCCTTCGCTCGTAAAATTAAGCCTAAACGTCCGATCATCTCCCTCCATTTCTACACGCAAGAAATTGTTTCCAAAACCCTAACTAAAATATCTCCTATTATAAATTCGACGCTTAAATCCCAACCCTCAAATAAAGAATTAAGCCTAAATGTCCAATAATCTACCTTCACTTCAACTCCCAATACCCAGAATAAAAGCCCTAACTAAAATTCCACCTATTATAATTCAGCGCTTAAATGTCCGATCCTCTAGCTCAATGTGACCACGATATATCCAGAAGAAATAGTGTCCCAAAGCCCTAATTACAGCTTAGCAAATTAATAATTCGGAGCTCAAATCCCAAACCTCTATAACAAAGGAAACCAGATACGTTGCCAGATAGATGATATATTGAATGAAAACGATTTGGGATTTGCTTTTTTGGTGAACTTCTTCCCTCTCTCTCTGGTGGAGAAGGGCAGCCGGTTTGTGCGATAAAAAACCACGTTCGAACCCTACGCCAGCCTCTATTTACAGGCTGTGGCGGGCAAAGACGGGGTATGGAGAAATTACTTAATATAATTGGAAAATGGATAATTTGATAAAATGAGAGAGGAAAAAAGAAAAATAATTCGTTAATTGTTATAAAACTATAATAATAATAATAATAATAAGAGAGAAAATTATGGAGAGTCAAAATTTAAGTATTATTTTATTATAGGGTGGGCCTATTTTTATAGGATTTTAATTAGAATTACAGCTATATTATTCTAAAGTAAATAGGGGTAATTACATAAATACCCATTAAAACTATGGGCATTTAGAAAAATAATGTTAAAAGTAATTTTTGAAGTAAAAAAGCTTAAATGCTCACCTTGCATCTAAATAGATTGTGAAAACCCTATAAATTATCCTCTTGTCTAGCTCTCCAATTAACCATCAAATTCGAACAATTTCAACAATCATACAACAAATTCTTAGTGGTCGTAGTAATTTGAATACAACATTTTAACGGAGCTTCCTATTTATGGAATTTCATAAATAAGTGCCTTTATCGCCACTATGTCACCAATTTGTGGAATTCCAAAAATGAGCGTCTTTACCGCCACCGTGTCATGGCATATGAGCTCCTTTCAACTCAAACTCTCAATCGCTAAGATTTGAGGTTCGTGTCACTGGTGGTTCAAAATAGTACGGCTAGTGGTAATGGAGTGGAACAATGCCAATCTAGGAATTCTTCGTAGATAAACTCGAATTCAGATAATTTCTCTAATTGGTCCAATGCTGAAGGTGAAGAACAATCGGGTGACTTGTGGCCCAAGAAATCTCTTGCAGTTGTGAGCATATTGTCTATTAATGAATTATTATATTTGGGTATTTATTTCTAACAATGGTTTGTCAATGCATTTGACAAAATGTGATGATTTAAAAATTTGAAATGAAAAAAGCAAGTAAATGAGTGTGAGTACATGTGGCCAACTCATTCATTTGACATGCTACTCCAACATTCGATATATTTTATGATCGACTCTTCTTTGCTATGCTTCGTCCATGCAAGTTATGAAAGACTAACTATCCACCTGGTGCTATAGAACCATAACTTCCGCTTAAGTTTATCTCAACTATCAATTGATCCAGACGGAAAATTTGTAAACTATTTAAACGCGGTACCTTTGAGGGATCATACAAACTGCTTCAATTTCAATTTTATTGCACCTGTAGATGAAAATGAGCTACATTTTCTTCGAATTGCCCTTTCCATCAAAAATCAAAATAATGGAAATTTGGGGACTGTTATCCAAATAACATCCTTATTTCGTCCTTACAACATCTCTATTTTTCGGTATAAACCAATGAAGATGGGTAAACCACCAAACTATGTACATATCCATAATTATATGTTAAATTTATATGATAAAGAGCATAGTGGTGTCACGCAACACATTTTGCATCCCTATGTTGTCTTGGATATCTTACTTTTGCTAGTATTCTTGAACTTCAAGGTATTTAGTTTTGCTAGAATATGCATTTTCTAGATTGTCTTCCACAAATAGGTTTTACAACTCTAATCTGCACATGAGTACAATAATTTGTGCATCTTTGTCATCTAGTGATTTTATTGACTTTTCAACGGCTAAAGCCATTTGTTGAATCCGTACATCAAAGCTCAATGTCGCTTCTGTGATCATTAATGGCTCAAAGGATTCCTCATAGTAAGTATAGTCTCTTCACTTTCACAGAGAAGTGACTTGAGAGGACCCAAAAAGGGATTTGCCACTAAAGATGAAACCAAAATGAAGACTTTTCACTAAGCTCTTCGACATTTCTGCCAAGGGATCCCTACTCCTCGAATTAGCAATTTTTATCTTGCCTTTATTGGTAAATCTTCCTCAATGATGAAATTAATTGAGCTTTTTCAATCTTTGCATGGGCTCTTGTTGCATGGAGTTAAGTAAGTGTATCATTAGGAGTCATTATTTCATTTGCTTTTTCACTTTTCATAGTTTGTGTGTTGATTTGAAACTTGAAATTTTTGTGAGATTGACAGATGTGAGGATAAGAAAATCCATTGCACGTGCCAAGAAATTTGTACAACAAAATTTTGTATATAAAACATACGGAAATTGTTAAAAATTATATTTTTTTGTGAATAACGAGGTAGGTTGATCTTCTTTGACTCCGAAACTACATGATCATATGATTGATGATCTAAGTATGTGATGAAGAGAGGTCGAGTGACTTGCATCTTGAACATTAAAACTCATTAAAATTTTGATTTGTTGATAGTTTGACTTATTTGAGACTTGGATTTGAAGTTTGAGACTTTCATTTTAATAAGACTTCTATTTCGTGAAACTTTGTCTTGAACTTGCTTAAATTTAAAGAAGACTTTGAATTTTTTTAATTCGGACTTGAACTTGAGAGATTTTTTAATTTTCCTTCGAAGCTCTGAATTTTTTCTTAGACTTCTTTTTCCTACACTTTCAATTATGGTTTCTTTTTTCTGTGTACTTTGACTCCTATATATAAAGAAAGTTGGTAACTACGTCCAATTATATATAGTTAAAAACTAATTAAATATAATTATCGATTTTAGAAAGTAGGATGACATACTTTTAAATAAAATGACTTCAAGTTTTGTTACTCCTCGTATTAAGTTAGCCATCAGGAAGCAACACGTGAAGATCTCACTGATGTCGTCAGAAGAGTCGGCCAAAATATATGAAAACACAAAGCAACAAAAGGCCGAAGTCCTTATTCTGACCAAGGTGCCACCTAGCTAGATACGGGTCGAAGCCCAAACGAAGAGTCTATACCGAAGTCCTCATGTTCACCACTAGTCGAAGTTTTAAAAAATGAGACTGAAGTCCTATGAGACGAAAAGGCTACCACATCTGTCGACCTGACGAATATTTTTGTGAAAGACTAATTGTATGTCTACTTTATCTTATATTAGGTATATCAGACTCTTTATCAATGTAATAAATGCATGTCTAAGAGGGTTGTGATGTATAGAAGAAGGAGGTAATGGCATGTAGTTCGGATCTAACGGCCACCATGTCTTTCCCAAACTCTATAAATACCCTCTCCTTAGAGAAAAAGAAAGAAAAAATGAGATATGTGTTGAACAATAGAAACAACGCATATACAGAAAGAGAAAAATGGGAGAAAATTCGGGAAAAAGAATAAGGAACGGGTATATTAATTTGTTGGCACATTGTGGATGGAAAAATAAATACAACTCCATATGTTTCTTGCCCTTTGGTTGTGTTCCCATTTACTCTCTTTTATCATTTACTTGCAAAAGTTGTGATCGTGTTCGGGTGAGATTATAATTGCCCGTTTGTAAGCTTTTCGGCCACTTCTGCCGGTGCCTGAACTGTTTAGTCTCGCGTCAAAGGAGCATCTCCTATGTCAATTCCACCGTCCTATCAAATCTAAGATCTAAAAACATGGAATTTACCCGTGTGGATGCGAGTGGGCTCGACATCTGTTGGTGTCTATGAGAAACTTGGAATAACTAAATCCTGAGCGGGTATGTAGAAAAAACCTTTGAACAAAAGGTAACGTTCTTTAAAAAGACCGATACGGGGCGTGGCCGAGGTGCTGAAATAGGCAACTCAAAAGGAACTTTGCAAACCCTTGAATAAAGGAAAAGCAATCCCAGGAATAAAGCCAAAAAATGGCTTACCTATTGAGAAGATGCAACCATGAGTTCGACAAAGGAATAAATTGTACTTAGGCAGACTGAAGAATACCTTGACAAGGAAAATTCCTCGCAAAACGCCCCAATAGAGTTATTGCCAGCTGATCCAACAGTTCGCCATAGAAGAGGTAGCTCAAGGAACAAGCCTAGGTTAGCGATGAGGCTCATAGGGATCACAAGCATAAGGGCCATCTCCCAGCAAAATGCTACAATACAAGAACTGCTAAGGCATATGCAAGGTCAATTGGTCAACTCCTCACAAAACAACGAGGCGATTGTTCGGCCGAAAAAGAGAGGTGGGTGTGGAAGTGGTCGTAACTACGCCATTCACCAAATGACTAGGGAGATTGCCGTTCTACCAAACTATAGTAGGGCAACCACGCTAAGAAGGTCAGCCAGTGTTTTCGATAGATTTGGTCCTACAAGAAACAGGTAGGGCCGACTCCATATTTTGCTCGCTCAAGCCAAATTTCCTCCTAACCCTTTGAGCTAGCCACACTTGTGTGACCCTCCATCGATGGGAGGTTAGCACAGACAACCTCAATTGGAAATCGTAGTGGAACACATTCATAAGTACATGCATCCTTGCCTAGGAATAGGAGTGAAAGACGAGCTGCACTAGCTCAAATGCAAGCTAAACAAGACTGACCCCACGAGGAGAAAAATATAAGCCTAGAAAAATGTACCTCCAAAGAATGGCCATCCCAGGTAAAGCTCTCTTGCAAAAAGAGGCGCTAAGACATATAACTGCCGGTTTAGACTCCATAACCTCGACAAACATGAGCCGACCTTCACAACAGATCAATGAATCGAGGGCATAACCCTCACAGAAGAATGATCTGCTGTCTTCCCCATCCCATCCAAAAGATATGGTTAGGGGACGGAAGTTTTAAGAATTGCCTGCCTCCATGAAAAGATAAAAGGCCTAGCCTAAAAAGATGAGCTTCAATGTTAGACATCTCGAGCTAATCCTCTTGCAAAAACACCAATAAAAACCACCCCAAAATTCGACTAAGCAAGAGTTTGGAAGAGGAAACCACCCTAAAAACCACCGTAAAAATGGCCATAGCAAAATAGATGAGAGCAAAGAATTTTTCGGCGCCACACTAAAAAACTAGCCATAAGAAAAAAGAAGAAAATAATGCAGAAAAAAGGGCATACAAGGATGATTTTCTTATCCAATTTGCTACAGCTACGTCATCTTTATATTCTTACATCCACAAGTGACGTCGGGATGAGCGTTGCTGCACAACGATGATCACCCCACTAGATGCAACGACGATCGTGACTACTGTGGTGGTCTGATGACAAACATAGAGAAGAGATCGGAGAAGAGAAAAAGGAGAGATTAGAGAGAGAAAATGATTTGAGATTTGAAAGTAAAAATAGGTGGGGTGGGATGGATATGTAGATTAATTTGATTTTATAATAATGCTGATATTAAAAAAAATTGAATTTTTCACCTAATTTTTTAATAAAAACCTTTTGAACTTAATTTTTTTTTATCTAGGAGGTTGAAAACCACTAATCCAAATGGGCAACTTACAAAAATATCCCTAAAATAAGGGGTTGTTTTGAAAAATTATATGAAAAGTATTTTGGAAGTAAAAAAAAAAAAATACTGTATAAAATTAAGTGTCACTTTTTAATACATTTTTTTATTAAAAAAGTGAATAGTATCACTTTTTTTTATTTTTTTTTATAAAAAGTGACACGATGATATCACTTTTTTAAGTTAAGTGTCACTTTTTTTATTAAAAAGTTTGTTACACAAAAAAGTCAAAAAATTTCAAGAATGTGACAGAAAGAAAAAAGCAAAAAATATTATATAATATTAAGTGACATAATGTCCCTTTTTTATTTTAAAAAAAGTGACGCAATGTCACTTTTTTATGTTACTTGTTACTTTTTGAAGATTAGTATCACATTTTTATTAAAAAGTGATATCGATGTGTATTAGTCAAAAAAGTAACAAAAAACATTAAATACCAAGTATAATTAAGACATTTTGACATCAAACTCATAGTTGGGAAATGAATTTTGATAAGAATTAAAATTTTGACACCAACAAAACAAAATTTGTTGACAATTGTGACCTTCGAAAATAGGTTGGCTGCTCTTTAACTGCACTTCCTTATCCGAAGTTCTAACATCTGATACTAACAAGGTGAGTGTGTTTCAAATGTGCAACTAAAATAGAATTGTTGAACACATGCACTTTCAACCTCACAATATTCATCCTTCTCAATAGTTAATACAAATTGCATTCCCACAACGAGGTACCATTTTACTCTCTTATTGGTTTTAAGAGGAAGCGATCAACCCCTCTAC